TGGATGGAGGGCGAATAGGCGATGCTCGCAAGCGTCAGATAACCGATCATGCTCGCGCTTCGAAGCAAAATGTTCAGTCTAAATGACGATCCGATTTCCTCGGAGGGGGGGAGGTTGGCCTCGCCGTAGGGAGAGCTGGTCTGGCGGATACGCATCCCCCCGCGAGTCGAGACGGATGCGTTCTGGGAAGCCTGGAAAAGGCCGGAACGTCCCCAACAGAGGTTCAAAATTTTGACCCCGAATTCTGATTTCCGCTTCCTCTACCTCCATTATCCCAGCTCATATTGCAGAATGACCTCGGCCGGACTGTGATTGATTCGCTGCTCCTGCTCCTCGTGTCGTTCACCAGGATCAGCAACTTGCTAAATCGCTGGCTATGAGGGTCTCTCCTAGACCCCTGCGGATGTTTCCATTGCAGGACTACACAGAGACACAGCGTTTTCCGCTAACTGGGTATCAGTCGCCAGTCCCCGGCGGATGCGGTCGAGTTCGAGACAAGTCCAGCTGATGCATGCGAGAATTGAATAGATGAGGGGGAGCCGCCAGGCCAAGAGTGGTGAATAACGTGCCTCAACGTGCAGATTTTTGTCGGAGAACGGGCCATCGATCGAAGTGCTCGGCTACTTCACCTATACCGAGGATACTTTCCCCGCCCGACTCTCGAGCGAGGCCCGACATGGAAGACTCTCCAGGACAGGCCACTCGACGAAGTCCGACTCTGGGATTTGCTTTCAGTCAAGCAGTCGTCACGGTCAGCCTTGAATAAGTGACGAACGTAATCGATGGCGAGACGAGTACAGAGCGAGCGGAGACTCCTTATCAAGAATTCTCCGCCGACTGAATGATGGCGGTGCTCTCACTCAGCAGAATGTGCTCAACTGCTGCAATGACGGGTCTCGCTGCCACCATTACGAGTGTTCGTCCGGGTTTAAGCCCTACAAGCGACGGAAGGCATGTGACTAGCGCTTTTTATGCAATTTATCGCCAACGGAACAAATCGAATTATGTACGAGTCGAAACACTTCCGGTGTCGAATGCCTACCCGACAAAAAACCGCCCGCGTAGAATAGCTCAGCGGGTTCGCTCAAATAATGCTCGGGAGCGCGAAAACAGAAACCTATGTTCCTCGCATTCCCATGTATGCGTCCCGGGACGAAATAGCGTTCGTCCGGAGCCCGTGACTCGATAGCGTGTCGACGATTCAGGAACACCGAGCAGCGCGGGAGAAGCTCATCGATAGCGTTGAGCCTTTTTGTTAAACCTGCACGCAGAGGTGCGGCGAACAAACGCGAAAAAGGAAACACGAAAAAACTGTTACTCGCAGGCACACGGTACGTCCGCTGCTCGTGCGACGCGAGCTCAAACTTACGAATGAAATATGCCGTCGCAGCCTCGAGGCATCGTTTTTCCTGCTTTTTGCTCAAAAGCACAACGTCATTTGCCATTGCCTAGTCAAGCCGCCGCCACCGCCGATGCAGCTGAGGGACCCCCGGATATCGACATTGTAGTGGAAGGGACGGGAAGAGAACGGGAAGCCTGCTATCCCGGAGTATCGGCCCCACTTCGATATGTATCTCACGTCGAATCGGAAATAGGGATGCCGCACGGGGAACTGCCGGCCATGCAGCTCGGCTAGGGGGAGCCATATTGGGGATCGGCTACAGATGAATCAGAGACAGAGGGATGCTGAGAGAAGAGAGAGAGAGAAGAACTGAGACCGACTTAGGTAAACGGGCGTCGAGCTTCAGGAACTCGGATCGATCCGACAGAAAGAGCATTCTGGTGAGCCATCGCGCTACCCCATACCCTATTGGGAAGACGAAAAACACGCAGAGGCTTCCCGCGGCTGAGAGTTCTGTGCTCTTCCGGAGTCCCTGTTCTGGATCCACAAATCGAAACATTGTTCCCTTCACCGGCCTTGTGGTTGTGTTGTCCGGTCGGAAGTTGAGCGCTGGACATCAGTTTGGAGAGCACAATGCCGCGAGCTGGGGCAGCACTCGAAACAAACGACAGAGATAAACTACTCTTCTTGACGCCTGTCCCGCCCACGCTTGTTCCACAGGAAATTTTTACAAGAACTCTGGCAGGCGCTATGGAGTAGAGGCATAAGTGCAGGCCGAGGCTCGAGCGACCGGCTTTTCTCCGGAGGGATCTGCCTGCGCCGCGGATTCGACTATACATATTTCAGGTTTGCGGTCCTAAAAGTTTGACGCCGCCAAGCTTGGAAACCTACAACCATGAACTTGAGCTCCTCTCTGACACCGTCAATAACCTTTTCGATGGAGGAGTTTTTCTGAATGTCGCCTGTTGATATCATTACGGGGAACTCTTGGAGGTTAGCAGAGACTTCCAGATGCTAAAGGAGGAGCCGTGTGTTCGCTCCGAGTTGGAAAGGATTTGAGAATACGGCGAAAAGCTTCCTGGTTCTTCATGTTTTTGATCTCACCAGTGGATGTCGTCTACTGAAGTCGAGTGAATGAAATAAGTCTCTTCCTTGCCGATCCGAACCGCATTCCTCAGGGTAAGGCGGCGGCTCGCATACCGGAGGCAATCGCAAAACTGGCTGAGGAGAGCAGACTCGCGAAATATCTCGAGCTTGGAAGGTATTCCACGGTCTTGGAGAGCGCATCGAGACTGCTCCGGGGAATAGACGGGCGTGGAGTTCTTACTTCAGAGAGTTTCAGTTTTTTTTTCAGAGGTTCACGAGGGTGATCGGGCAGCTGTGAGCGGTTCGCTATCCATTACCGACAGGCGAGATCCTTGCCGGAATCGGCTGAACGATCTACCTACATTGACGATCTTTAATTCTTAACCGCCTCGGGAGAAAAAATTTTTCCCCAGAGTCCTCTCTCACGGATATATTTCCCCATGGCTTTAATTTATTGAGAGAACTGCCTCCGTTCGGAAACCTTAAGCTTGGAGGAGGAACGTGTGGTGACAGGGGAATCGAGAACTTCCTGCCGCCGTCTAGTCCAAGATGCTTAACTGCTAAGCATTTCTCGTCGGACAAAGATAAATATCGTCATTCCTCTCTGGAGCTCATTCTTTCGGGATTCAGGAGCTTCTTCTCTTGCGTCATGGATGTATCCGTCCGAGGGATCTCGGGTGACTCGGTTTGACAGAAGTCGGTTGATCTCGGTCTCTGCCTTCTTGTCTGCATCGATCGAACATCGCCGACTTTCGAACGCTCAAGTGTCCTTATTGTCGAGAAGCGCCGATTCGAATCATTGCCCTGATTTCTCCTGATGGTCTTCGTATTTGCATGTGAGCAACGCGAAAGAAACGCATGTTTCATTCTATACTCGACGACGAGCACACGGTGGCTACCGTAATCGAGGCTTCAATATAAGGCCGCGATATTCCCGTGCACAGCCAATGGCTCTCTCGATCAGACGATACATGTATAATCTATCGGCAGCCTCAGTCCTTGAAGGTCCTGGCCCCCCATCCGGACCTGAGGGGCTTGCTATAAATCAGCTCTGACTCAAGGCTCGCCTTTCCGTTTCGTTCAAACCGGATGATTATGCGGAGGGCGTCGTAGCCTCTTCCCCCCGCTCGAAACATCCATAGCGGTTCCCTTGACTTCACAGTGGCAATAAAACGCTTCAAGGGAAAGATAATCGAGGATGAGAAAGGTATCGTTTTCGAGGACTATTCGTCCACCCGGAACGTCAAAGCTGCTTTATCAATCGGTCACTCCATCCATTTCGTCCGCGTGGAGCTGAATTGTGCACCGAGGTATGGTGAAAAGCGTCTATCGAAATATCCATCAACACTTGCCCGAGCACCCTACTCAACGAGTCGCCGCAGACGGCAAACGGTCGGAGCCGATTCACTCGATTTGGAAATTCGACGTGCGCAGCCCACGGAGACGTCATCGTCAGGCGAGATTCCCAGCTGTTCTGAGACGACACAAAGATGTTGAGGTAATCTCGAGCTCTCACGAGATCCGGCGGAGACAACCTCTTTCGAATCAATGAGACTGGGATATTATGAGCATTCCGAGAAAGTCAAGTAGAATGATTAATAAATTAGGTCGGAAACATCTCGATTGATCTGTCCCACCGCCGTCAACGTTCCATCAGAGCCAGCTGATCACCAATTCAGCGACTCGGGAGGCTCGAGAAACGACCGGCAATGAGAGCAATGTAGAGAACTCGACATCGAATCAAGACGCGGCATCCTCCCGAGCGGTCTCTATGAGGCGAATGGAGCATCGTGGCGAATCTCATGTTGACCGATTCCTTCCGCATCCTCCTCCGTGAATGTGTATTCAATCATCGCATGATTGTTTTCTCTGTATTTTCTGTATGGAATAATCGGTCGGCCATGAGGGTTCGATTACCTCGTCTGATTGATCTAACCAGGTAAATGTGATCAGTGGAAGAAGCAATAGCTCAATAATGATATAGCGAGTGCGGACTGTGGTCGATTGCAGAGCACGACATCGAAGTTGCACGGAATGAGCCGCGGTGGAATATGAATAATAATAGGGGGTCGCGTGACTGGATTTGTTTATCGAGCTGCCTTTCAAGGAGATCGAGTGATGTCTTTGATTAATTGAGGGCTCCCGAGGACGCAGCGATCGATGGGTCTATGGAGCTTGGGGGGACAGCGTGACTCGAGCGGAGCTCCCTGGGGATCCCATAATCTATAATTGTCGGCGTCTGCCTCTAATAGTAATGATGATCAAATTGCGATTACAAAGTCACGCGAAAGCAGAAATAGGAGCCGCCTCTTCTCAGCTCGACGCTCCGAGGATTTCGAATGATGCTGGAGAAATTTTTCCTGGCGATTCCGGTCCATCCTCGGGATCAGAACGTTCATGCGAATCGGTTGCCTCTCCTGGGTAGGATCTCCGAATTTTCTCCTGACTCTCATATCAGCCTATTATGCTGATGATCTGATGATGGATCGGCAGCAGACGGAAAATGTTCAAGCGAGCATCCGAATATGGATCCCGTGAAAGCGGAATGTGTCATATCGAAACACCAGACATCACAATGATCGTTTTTATTGATATTCTCATCTATTACCCCTTCATATTACAAATGACCGTTTATTCCGCTTCGGATCTAATATCGTCATAAATGGGTTGGGACGGACAGGAAGTCTTACAAGTTTCCATGGCTAAACAGTCTCATGGTTTCTTTCGATGCACAAGGTTTTTTTTCTCTCAGGCTTCTCTATTCTTTAACGAAGAGCTGGAGGGTTCCCCACTTTTTTTAATTTTTTTCCCGATATTTCTGTATCTCGATTTCTTTGATAAGCTTCATCTCACCCGACGGAGCCTACGCAACAAGGATTCAAAAAACGATCCTGCTTGATCTCGCAGGGTTTTTCTTTCTGCTGCGAACAATTTATGGCCGGTGCGCAGATCATATGGAATCGTAAGTTCTATGCTCTTTCGCCACGTATTCTACGGGCGAGTTGAATATCCTTTGGCATTATGGTCACACGCTTCGCGTGGATGGCGCACAGATTTGTATCCTCGAACAATCCTACAAGGTAGGCCTCGGCCGCTTCTTGCAGGGCCATAACAGCGGACGATTGAAATCTGTGAGCAGGGAAACGGGTCAGCTTGGGCAACAACGCAACAAACGCTCCGATGCGGCGAACCACAATTCCTAAGTTTGAAATTCGCAGTCCCCTCAAGAGAGGCGCACACACACAGTTCCGACTCTGACTCCGGTGAGGAACAAATGTCACAGAGGGGTAAAGCGAATTTTCGGAACGAAAATGCCGAGTCATGGTCTGGTAACGCCGAGGCGAGAAACTAGTCGGTACCGCGGAAAAAAACCAATGGACTGAGTCTCGAACAACTCAGAGCTTCGCTCACCTCAAATCCGTCTTGAAATCTTGGGCGATCTCTCGCACCAAGCGTTGGAAAGGCAGCTTCCGGATCAAAAGCTCGGTAGACTTTTGGTAACGTCGGATCTCGCGCAAGGCCACCGTGCCAGGTCTGTAGCGATGAGGTTTCTTCACTCCACCGGTCGCAGGCGCTGATTTGCGAGCTGCCTTAGTTGCTAGCTGCTTGCGAGGGGCTTTACCTCCCGTCGACTTTCTCGCCGTTTGCTTTGTACGAGCCATAGCGAAACGAATCTTCGAACGGTCCACGAGACGACTTGAACGTTGAGAGACTTGTCTCACAATGAAGAACCCTCGTGGCGTTTCACTCTACCGAACGATATCGCGCACGAGTTGCGTCGTTCTCGGGGCTCGACGTCGTCTATCAGTTCAAACGTACACGTGCGCCGAGCTGCACTGTTGGCTTCGCGGTTCAGCTCAGCTTATCTTAGACAAGCTCGTCCACCGCCTCGGGACACTCCCCGGTGCCTGAGGTTTCCATTCACTCTCGCGCGTCGATATTCAGCAGCAGCTCAATAGAGTTACAAGGACTCGAGAGGCAAGCCATTCGGCGGGGATTCGGTCAAATCTCAGCCGTGTTCGCGTATTCACGTACGCGTACTTGGGGAATACTGGCGCGAATCGTATCTGACGGCTGACGGACCCTGTACGATTGTTCTCGCAGCAGAACGTTATCCCCTCCGTGAAACTCAGCTCGTCCCGGCTTGCCGTGCTCGAAGGGAAATACTTGAAGACTAGAAATCAGCCGACAGCAGAGCTCTTTTGGGTATTAAGCGAAAATTCAGCCATGGCACTGCTCTAGCTTGAGGAATGAGATGAACTTCATTCGAGCTAATAAATGTGAATGGACCCAAGGGAATGGACGGCTCATCAATGGTAGGAACCTGGGTTTTTGCGCCAGCGGCGGCTGAGTCTGTTGGAGCTTCATGAACGCAAAAACCCCCGGGCGATAGCAAACCCAACTCATTGGTTAGCATCTCCGAGCCGCGCAATTGCAGCCGAGCAATCGATTAAAGAATATGAAGCTGCATTTCACCATGAATGAGATGATGTGGGGAATATTCGCTCGGCCAGAATATGCCGGCCTTTGTAGAATAATTTTCTTTTTCTGATATCACCGTAATCTCTCCCGAGCGTTGAGCCACGCTGGGGAACGATCAACCTCTTACGACTCTCTATTCCGTTGGGTTTATCGATCTTACAAGATCCGATCTAACGCCATCATGAGTGATTTGCGAGAGCTTGTTCTCGCGTGATTCTGTTCCCACGCACTTCACCTCGGGGATCTATCAACGGCGCGTCGAGCGTTCCGCTCCGATTAGCTGGGGGTAGGGGGCATGGATGCCCTCGCTCCCGAACGGAATTACGGAGTTCATGTTGCGGTTTCCCGATCGTGTAGGCAAGCTGCGACTTTTCTCATACGAGAATCCATCGGTGGACGTCAGCACGTTTTTCAGGGAGCTAGCCAACCCCTGAGCTACTTTGCTGCTTCAGTGACTGCAGGTTCCATCGACCATAATTCCGGACCGTGAGGGGTCTGAGAAAGAGCCCAGAGAGTATTGGAGCTCCGCGGAGCGGTTCATGTGGAACGATTCAGAGATTCGGGTTAGCGCAAGCTTTCAATTACCAAGTACAAGTACATGGGGAGAGCAAGGCTGCCACCGCTGAGGAGTGCCTGCGAGATATGAGCGCTCGCTCTGCCGACGAGCCTCGTGCCGGACCTACGTCGCTCAAGCGAGAAAACGGAGGATTTGGATGAGGAGAGGAAAGTTCAACGAAAAACTGCGAGAGAAACCTCGACATCAGCGGACTGGGTCTGGATATCGAGACCGAGAAACAGCATGGTGATCTAGAGAATTTGGAATAAATATCAAACGGCTTCTCGGGGTAGCGTTGAAAATGAGTAGCGTGACGTCGGGGTGTGTCTCGGGATACCCACACGGCGAGAATTCGGTAGTCTTCAGCTCTAACTTCGGAGGATATCTCGCTCGCCCAACAGAACGAGTCGCAGCGCAGACGGCGCATTCATGCCCTTCGACTCACGCGATTGCCGTGTCTATTTATTCACTTGGATTCTGACCTTATGTAGGATAATCGGACTCTCGGCGCGATCCGGTGAGTAAGCGGGAATCGATTCCGAACTCCGTCTCCGGCATGGAACATACGATCACGATGGGGTCGTATGCAACTTTATCATCAGAGGGCGCGTTTCTGTTTCGAGCGCGCGAAGGCGAGAGACGTATTCTGTTTTGCTAGCAAGACTGTTCGAATCCAACCAAGCGATGCTCTCCTCAACTTTCGCCGCTCCTTTCGCCTGTCCAGGGAGAATCGCTACGATGAGAAAACTCAACGCTACCCTGAATGTGAGAAGCAGAAAACTTCCGAGAGCGCGATGGCGCGGTCGTGCTGAACGACAAGAGCGTCCACATGATATTCCACTCAGCTCCGATGAGCTGACTCCGGCTTTTCATTTTCTCCCGTGTGTTCCACGCGAGTCTCCGAAATTTCCAGCGAGACATCGATTAGAGACCCTCGGAAATCGCCCGATAGCCGTTCCTGACTGCCGTAAGCATTTCTCGATATTCCGAATTCTCCCTACATCTACTATTCTCTACTGCCACGATTGGTCGGAATCCGGATAATCACGGTCGGTATAGCAGGGCTCGAGACGACTTCTGCAGCAAGTCTCATAACTTCTCTGGCTTAGCGAGAACGGGCTTCCGAAGTGGTAGCGTTTACGACGCCAGACCTCGGAGGCGAAATTATTTCCGCCTCGAGCGCAGCGATAGGTCACGGGAGAATTCGGCGGGGGAAGGAGGGGGGGCAGAGCGGCTTGACTCACCTTTTCTTCCTTGGTCAGTCTGTCGTCACACGCGTCGATAGCTGTTCTAACTGCGTAAACGTAAGCCTCAAAGTCGCTTTTCGCTTCGAGTCTTTCTTTGGCGCGCGAGTCTTCCTCTTTGAACTTCTCAGCATCCTTCAGCATTCGGTCGATCTCCGCCTTCGTTAGTCGACCTGAAACGACCGAGAGGGCTGGATTGGATTCGGAGTAATAATAGCGACGTGCCTAAGTGGAAAAGTCTTAGCGGCAAGAACCCGTGCGCGGCTACGAAGGGCTAGTGGTTTCTTTCCACCGGATTGTCTCTGAAATGCGGAGGACAACAAATCGAGGAGTCTCTGGGGCTTTAGCCGAGAGAAACGTTCGTTTCGGGAAACGGGAACGTCGTCGCCACCAACTGACTGCGGCCCTCTCTAGCGAGCTTCCTGGTGAGACAACTAACGACCTTGCCGACTGTTTCGTTTTATCAGAGATGGGAACGAGCGAGGCCATGAACACTAATGACTCGGGGCCTTCCATCTCTTGTTCGGACTCACCCTTGTCGTTGGTAATCTTGATCATTTTTTGTTCCCAGAGGAGCAGTCTCGCGCTGATACCTCGAGGATGCCGTTAGCGTCCAGATCGAATGTCACCTCGATCTTCGGGATTCCTCGCGGGGCCGGCGGAATTCCGTCGAGATTGAAGCTGCCCAGCAGATGGTTGTCTCTGGTCATTGTCCTCTCGCCCTCGAACACGTGAATTGTCACGCCTGCGAGACGATGAAAGTATTTAGAAGCTCGATGGAACGAGTCGGAATTGCGTAAGCGCGGGGTTGACGTCTCGTCCCGAAATCGTCACGAAACTATTTCGTCGAAGAGAGCCCCTCACCCGATTGGTTGTCTTTAAATGTCGAAAAAATCTGCGTCGTTTTGCAAGGAATTGTGGAGTTTCGGCTGATGAGGTTGCTCATGACGCCGCCAGCTGTTTCAATTCCGAGCGACAGAGGAGTGACGTCGACAAGCAATACATCTCGGATGGCGTCGCTGCGATCCCCCCGGAGTATGGCGGCCTGCACAGCGGCTCCGTAAGCCACCGCCTCGTCCGGGTTGATCGACATGTTGAGCTCGTGTCCGTTGAAGAAATCTTTCAACAACGTCTGCACGCGCGGTATACGGGTCGAGCCGCCAACCATGACGATTTCATCAATTTGATTTTTTTTCAAGTTTGCGTCTCGCAGCGCCTTCTCAACTGGAACCAGCGTCGATTTGAAGAGGTCTGCGCACAACTCTTCGAAACGGGCACGTGTTATCTTCGAATAGAAGTCCTCGCTCCCGAACAATGAGTCAACTTCAATGCTGGCTTCCGAGCTCGTGCTCAAAGTTCGCTTAGCCCGCTCGCAAGCTGTCCTCAAGCGCCGCATTGCTCTGGCGTCGCTCGTCACGTCTTTCTGGCTGAATTTTCGTTTGAACTCGGCCGCGAAATGCTTCACCAGCCGATTGTCGAAATCCTCGCCGCCGAGATGTGTGTCCCCCGACGTGGCTTTCACCTCGAACATGGACGCGTCGGCTATGGTGAGGATGGAAACATCGAAAGTCCCGCCGCCGAGGTCGAACACGAGAACATTGCGATCGCCCTTGAGCTTTTTATCGAGCCCGTAAGCGATGGCAGCCGCAGTGGGCTCGTTTATGATACGCAGAACGTTCAGACCGGCGATAATTCCGGCGTCCTTCGTGGCCTGCCGCTGCGAGTCGTTGAAGTAGGCAGGGACTGTGACGACGGCGTCTCTCACCGTGGAGCCCAAATACCTCTCAGCGACCTCCTTCATTTTCGTCAGGACCATGGACGAAATCTCCTCGGGAGCGAACGTCCTTTTCTGACCTTTGAAAACGACCTGGATCATTGGTTTGCCTCGCTCATCGATCACCGTGAATGGCCAGTGCTTGACATCCTCGTTGACCTGAGGATCGTCGTATCTCCGTCCGATGAGGCGTTTCGCGTCGAAAACGGTATTTTTCGCATTCATTGACGCCTGATTTTTAGCAGCCTCTCCAATGAGTCTCTCAGACTCGGTGAAAGACACGTAAGAGGGAGTTGTCCTGCTTCCGTGTTCGTTCGCAATTATTTCGACCCTGCCGTTCTGGAAGACGCCCACGCATGAATAGGTCGTGCCTAGGTCTATTCCAATCGCCGGCGCCATCGATGCTGGAATCAAATTAACACTTTAATATCGACTCTGTGACTCGGGGGGATGGAACTTGTCAAACGGGATGAGTCATGGCGACGACGCTTGACCTCCCAAATTCAAGAGCACATCAATATCTGCGAACGATACATGCGTGTAAGTTACGAAACTTGACGCTGCTGCCCCCCTCTCTACTCAACTGGGACGCCAGGTACGCTAATACTCCGCCGCCCATTAAGAATTCGCGTTTTTTTCCAGTTCGCTTCTTAGGTACGGCATTGCGCGTGGGACAGCTTCTATCTGACTGATTGGTTTCGTACGTACCGTTCGAATTTCGAATGATTCGTTATCTTCCACCAATGAAAACCAAGGTTTTCTTAAGCCGACCGGTTGTACGAATGGTCACGCTCTCGCGTCCCTGAGCAGCGAGAATGTCCGAGGGCGAGCCGTGTTCACCCGGGTCGATCACGAAACCCTTCATAGGATACGATTCATTCTCTGGGAGAAGTCAATCCCCAGAACTTCTCGGACTCGGTCACCGATGCGGCACCTACTCAGAAAATCTGCCCGACAGTGGTCCTCTGGTCCTGAGAATTCCGGACCTCTTTGGTCCTTCGGATTGGATCCGTGTCCTAGATGTGTTATTGGCCTTATTGGCTTCCTTTTTGTGAACCCTTGATTATCAGCGGAAAACCTGAAATATTGAGTTGGAGGAATATCGTCTAGGTCTAGGGATGTGGGACAACGAGAGATCCGGATCCTCCGTGCCGGCTTGGTCTCTCTCGGCCCGGCTGCGTCGAGACGGAACCCGGCAGTGACCTGCGGTCCAGGGGGGAGGAGTTCTGGTTTTCGCAGAAGCGCTTCTCTATTTAGAGGATTGCTTACGGTCTCTCCAGGGAAAAAATGAGAATATAAGACTGGAGAGCGCCGAGCAATGCCTGATATGAATCTTGAAGCATGGGGAATATACCGAAAAGTCCCGTCCGCGCTGTAGGATGGTCCTTCCCTCTTGCAATGAAGGGAAATGGGGAGAGAGGAGTATCCATGTCAGCTGCAGAAAGTCAACGGGTATACCACACTGGAGCTGCTTAGATCGCGTTATTCAGCGCCGACTCCCCCGGCTTATGCAGATTGGATGCTCGAAATTTCGCGATAATTCGCAGCCGTATGCGAGGAAAAAGCTCCCGCAAAAAATGCCCGAGAAGTTTCCAGCGCATCTTCGCGCTATTCGGTCTCGCGTTCCAGACGCGCTTCTATGGTATGTGATACGAAGAAAGCCCTCTTTCGTATAGCTCCCTAGTTGCTTGCGCTTTTCTCAGCACAAGTCCGATTCCTGAATTTCGGCGAATTTTATTTGCGTTGCAACTTGCTCCGGGCGTTTCGTTCTGCTTTTGATTGGGTGCTCTTCTCGGGGCGTTTATTTTTCTCGGGCGAAGCGGCTCCCGGGGAAACACATTTGCGGGTTTCCTGACTCCACGTCAGACCTCCGGCAGAAGAATTTGTTTCCACAAGAAGGCTGTTCACCCCCGCCCCTCTCGAGGCTTGGGTTTCCGCGACTCTCGGAAGCCTTCGCTTTGAAGCTAGCGAGACTTTTCATGACTCCAGGCGAAGCATCTTCAAGCAGGAGGCTCGCTCGAAAATCCGGGATGGAGGCCGACGACGTCCCTCCAGACGGGGAATGTTCCATTCTGTTGACGCATTTAGGCGGGCTTGGCCTTTGAGTGTTGGGGTCTAGACACATGCTAGGAACCCAGGCAATTAGGGGTCCGGACGACGTTCGGGAACAGCCTGAGCAGTTTCTGTCAGTGCCGTGCTCGGACAAGTAATCCGACTGGGAAGCGGGAACAGGTTCACCACTGACAGCCATTAACAGTAGCAGCATACGCTCAGGAGTCGAATATTCTCATTTCCTCCGATTGCATACCTCCTCTCTGAAGGCGGCTACCGCGAAGCCTCCGAGAGAGCTTTTTCGAAAAAGTCGCTAATTGGACCAACGCGTCCAATTATAATTAATATAATAATAATTATTAATATTACAACAATTATAATCATCCACCCATAGTGAGTTTGATTCCCGTCTCTACCCTCTACGCCAGCGGGCTTGCCGCCTAACCCTCCGACTCAGTTCTCGTAAGAGAACCTCCCTCTCTCAATGAGTGACGTTCCTTAATTCTCCCGTACTTCTTCCAACTGGAAACTGTGAGACCTGGACAGGCAGCTCGAATAAAGCTCGATACCTCGAGGCACGAGTGAGGCTCATCCGCCTCTCTGCGACATTCTTTCTTCTGTTGAATGAGCATCGAGGTGTGAGATCGCAATTGAAGGGAAGCCGTCGGAGTTGACGCCTCCAGTAAATGCGGCAAATATTTTTCCGCAACGGCACAAATACGAGTCGGGATCTGCACTAGGCTGGTTCGAAGAGTCCGTTCCTCTTGTTTTTCCTCGGATGGGCCTTCGAATGCAGAATCGCGGAATCGCGAGAGTGAGCAAAGTCGCGTCAGCAGGAATTCGGCATCCCCTACCCGTTGACGGACTTTGTCAAGCTTAGCTCGGCGCGCCGAGACGAATACCTGAGCGGTTATTGCCTCTTCGCGGACATAACTCGTAAATGAAGCAATATGAGGGCGCGAAATAGAACGAAAATGTGGAGTAGGAGGCTCGAGCCTCTCAGCCGACGCTTGGCAGAGTGCTCGCAGCAGTCCGCACATCACCTGCAGATTCGCATCGGCGTAGTATCAACCGGAAGCCCTCTGTCAGGCATCGTATGAAACTTAGTTAGACCCCGGCGGCCGACTGAAGCTTCCGGAAACCGGTAGCGGATGATGTGCTTTTTATCTCCTCCGGTCAAATGCCGCGGTAAATATCTACCGAACGAACTCCATTACCTAATCTCGCGCCTCGGGCGCCCAAGATCGCCTGTGACAAGACGGGGGGAGGCGGCGGAAGACGAGGGAGTGGGGGCAGAGGTCTCGAGTCGGAATCCTGAGAAGAGATGTACCCCGCCGGGATTTGCGTGGTAGAATCGAACTCTCAGGAGGGAAAATGAGGGGAATACGCAATATGGAGCTCGAACTCACGTCTTCGCGGGTCCCCACGAAAGCTCCGAAGGAGCCGCCGCCGCGAAACGAGTCTGATTCTCGAGGGAGATGAGATTGTAGGAATATGACTTGGGAGGAGTTCGCGACTCGATAGTTTGTAGCTTATACCTCGTTTATTATCCGTATTTTTTTTAATGAAACTTTCTGGCATCGTTCGGACTCCGACAGGATTCGCCGGATTCTACATTGATTGTTCATTTTCTATATACACACATACGCCCATCGCTCGTCATCATTCAGCCCCGAAGAGAGATTCTTCGAGCGACTCCAAGCCACGGAAACTAATCGCTTTTTATCAGTATTCCACCTCAATTACACCTCGCTAGTGTGACCTCCATCATCACTCCCTAATATCATGTAAATGTATATCGAGTCTAATTATTATCTATCTATTACATTAGGTTGTCTTGGAGGTGACGAACCAACGGAAGCGTTGGTAAGCCCTGAGATTCAAATCACAGATACCGGAAGCAGATAGAGTATATTCATCAAAAACACGTGCGCCTTTGATTCGTTTGTTTCTCGCTTCTTGGTGCTTATCCTGGCCATGTCGGGTCCATTCAACCCTGAGGGTGAGCTCTCGAACTCGGGACTCTCGTCGATTCGAAGTTCGGCGGAAAATGATGGCATCGCGGAGAAACAAAAAGCGAGACAAAATTTGGTCTTCAGACTGAAACGTCTGTCATCGATGACCAAATCTGTCTTGGTTTGAGAAAAAGAGACCCAACGTGGAACTGAGGAAAAGCGACGAGATTCTGAAGGCTGCCTGCACAGAGTATCGGCATATCGTCTTTCCGGAGCGACAGATGACCTCGTCGTATTCAGTCTCGGATGTCACTCGAGTCTTTCTGATCTGTGCAGTGTTTCTCGTTCGGTCGAGTCGAACTTTATTCCGAGCTATGTAGGATTCCGGCTTCTGTCGCTTCGGTGGTACCAATTATCACAAAGAAATTTTTGTACACTCGCACAATCAGGCGCCCACTCAGTCAAACGGGGTCACGCCCTCGCCATGATAGATCGGATGCGAGAACAGAGTCGCCCACGCGTTCTTTCCGAACTTACGTGCGATCACAACATCATGCTCACAGTAGGGGAAATGCGCCCACCCGAATTCATGCGAAAGTCACGTTCGAACTCGGAGGGCTAAATCGAACAGGAGGAGGGCGGGGACCGAGGAAATAATGAATAGACATTCATTGACAACAAACACGCGCTGCCTTGCGGCGCACATAGACCAACAAACAGCTCAAATGAGGGTGAGGTTCCACATGGGTCTGCGTTGGATATCCCTACTAATTCAACATGGCTCCTGCTCTGTGTGAGTTACGTTTGAGTATTACGTCATGCATCTGGAATCGTTCTCGATCAACTCTGAGGTCCAGTCGATGTCGTCGTCGTCGGCGTCTTCGTCGCAATCTGAACGAGATGGTTCCGTTGCTCCTGCAGGTACTGCAATTTGAGAACCATGAGACGCTGCTGGAATTGCTGAGCCTCATGAAGCTGCGCGGCTACTTTTTGAATAGCTTGGAGAGCTTTGACGAATTCCAAAGTCGCCTCGGACTTGAGATTCGCGCGTTTCGTGGGTCTGTTCTCCTCCCGGAACTCGTCCACGGTGTCGTCCTCGTCCTCGTCGGCTGGAAAAGTACAAAGGCTTCATTATCGACCGAAGACGGCGACTTATTTCTCGCGGGAATGCCGGAGGGAGAGCAGTGTAAGATGCGCCATATCCCACAGGGTTCTCCGAGATTTCCTCCGAGGGAGCCAGCACTCTCTCCAGTCCAACGGAAACGCTCGAGCTGCTGAACAAACTTTTGACGTGCGTCCCGAGAAGAGGATCAAATCTTCGGAGGGTTCAACAGAGCCTGCCGAACAATTTGATTCGCCTCTCGGTCCCCTTATCTGCGGAGATTCCAACCGGAGTCGAGAAGATCGGGAAGAAGTTCGTTGCGACGGCAACAGGAGGGAACAACGGCCCTCTCCGATCGAGGTCAAGTGGAATCACGAGCGAGGCCCTCATCGAAAAGTCAGAGGGATCGCTAATCCTAATCGACTCGGGGGGCTCGAATCGTCGAACAATGCATTTTTGTTGCTGCCTCTGGGGTCGTCATTTTCGCATTACTCTATCGTACCGCGTCCGAGTCGAGGACCAGGACTCACGGTACGGGCGCGGCGTGCGCATTACAACTGCTCCCTGCTTGCCGGTATCAATTGGAGGAAGGAGGCATCGGATGGTAATAATGGAGCGATCTCCCTGGCAATGCTCGCCTGCAGATAGGAACAACGGCACGGGAAATCGCCGCCGTCGATCTTACGCAACAATGAACTCCGTTTATGGGAGCTCATTACACGCACAACACTATCCAGAGTATTCTCTGTTGACCATTAAAACCATGACCAGCGGCTCGCTCGAGCGGCACGCGTGACCGGGCCGTGCCGAGCAGTCCCTCCGTCTATCGAGATGCGGCTATGATTCAAGCGTGCCGACACGGAGTCCGCGATAGAATCGAGCGAAGTCAGTGTCAGCCCGACGTTACGTCCCCGAAGGTTTAGAGCAAGCCAGAGCTCGCGTGATGTTTGCGCGTGATTTGCAGCGAGTTCCCATAGTCACGCCAGACGTGCGAAATACTCGCGCCGTATTGGCTCCACGCTAAGGATCGAGAGCGCGTATATTCGTGGGATGAGACTTCGTTCCTCGGCTGCAGAGAGATACGGCGAGAATTACGCACATTGAATTGAAGCTGACAGAAAAGTATACGAACCTCCCACATCGCACGCTTTGCGTTTCGTGCCCTGTGATTCCATTCTCTCATCGGAGGAAGATGACGACGCGAGCTGACCTCCCCCACTGGACGTAGGCGAATGTATGTGCGGTCGGAGGTCGGCTGGTGAAGGGTTTGTCAGTTGGTGCTCGTCAGACGATTCATGCTCGTCCACAGTGGAGCTGTGATCGGCCACATCTGGCGTCTGTTGACCGAGTGCTGAGTACGAAGCCATGGCCGCCGCGAAATTTAGCAGCATGTTCTTGTGACTGCGGAACGTGAATTGTTAGGGACTCGAGATGAGTTTCATATTTCCCTCCCATAGCTCAAGGACCAGTTTAAGGGTACCCCAGATTCTGAGTATATTCAGAGGTCGGGGAATTACTCGGAGCCGGAGCATAAATTTGAAACTTACGCATCGGCTGCGTTCAGCTGCGTAGGGACCGGTTCCAACCACGGGAGTTGAGGTTTCAGGGTCATCTGGTCGGGCCGAACGGGGAACGCGCTCTGAGGGTGAAGTGTATGTTGGAGGTTTCCGTACGCTTGCTCGGTGAGGTTTCGCATGCTTTCTTCGACCGCTTCCTCCCCAATAACCTGAAACCATTCGACAGGAAATTTAAATTTTCGAAGCAAGAATTACCCCCGACGGAGGCTTGGGATTCGGGGTTTCGGGAAGGATCACCCGAATCTATTCGTGCTCGTAGTGGTGATCTAAAGCTTCCGGAGGTGACATACAAACCTGGATCACTCGCAAAACGACATCCGATAGACGTCTGGGCGGCCTGCATTTCTTCAATTCTGGAAGGAGGAAAGCCTGAATTCGAAAATGAGGCTTTGTCGAGTGCGCTCCAAACCTGTTGAATCTTAGGGACAATTAGGATTTCCCACGGTCGGGGAAAAACCCGAGGAATACTAAGGCGGGGAGTTTCTCTTTCCCAGTCAGTATCTCCGACACTGCCTCGCCCTATTCCTTGATGGGTCCGGACTGATGCCTGTACAGCGTGCCTGAAGATTTTGGCGACAGTGATCCATGGAGAATCAATCGATTCTGAGACTTCATGCTATGCTCTTTATATTCCCGGTCTAGCAATAGCGGCCTGATTGAAGCGTCAATATCTCGATTTATGTAGACAATCTCCCCTGAAGTTCAGCACGATACTGCTCAAGTTGTAACACTCCCAGTCATCAGTTCTCAGTAGAGGCTCCCGTCTTCACACAGGCTCCCGTGTAGGCTAACTCAAGAACGATAGTTCTGTTTACGACAACAGATGCATGAGACATCTTGACGAAGTCCGAATCGAGGACACTGCGCTCCGAGCAATGTATTTCAAAAGTTGAGTCTTTTTCAAAAACGCTCGAGCAGGCTCGATCGAATTGTATACCACTGCTGGATATCGGGTCTCAGCAGATCATGACATTTGCTGGAGTTGAGATCACCTCCATCTCCGGGTAGTAATGGAGTTTTCCCGAATACATTGGGCCTAGAAGCTCTTTGGAAGAGATGGGGACGGGAATAAAATGATCGAACACAGAGATAACGAGAGAAGAGTGCAAGAGCGTGGGAACTGGATCATAGGCCGGCGTGATCTCTCGCGAATGGCGGGACGAAGTTCTCGGCATGAGAGGCTTCTGGTGGCTGTGAACGGAGCGCTGTTGTAGGATTAGCCAGCCCTCGCTTTTGCTCGAGCAATGCCTCGGCCGTGAATGATTCGTCACTAACCAATTTCGTCGCGAGGTTCCGGACCTACTGTCCTAAGGATCCTCTGGATTGTCGAAGGACCCTCCCCCTATTAGAGGGGGGAGGGGGAATTTCAGACAGAGACGGCAGGGGGAACGCGTCATCTTCTAAAGAATCGGAAGCCTTGGAAAATAATGAGTTTGTACAAAATTGGAGAGATACGATCTATTCAACGACCGCGTCGATGAGAAGGGTTCTGGCTGGCATTTATGCATTTATCCATGTTAGAAAAGCAATCCGCGCAAGGTGGTTTCATACACGATTCGAGCCGCGCACAGATAATCGCGATGGTGGCGATGCTGGTCGTGGCGGTTGTGACGCTGCCGCCGCTTACGTGTCCGATAGACGCTCCGCCAAATGAGTATAAGAGGGCACCGAAAGGTTAAAAATATCAACTCGGTATTCCCCGCATCGAGCAGCGGACATTGGCCGTTTAACAAAAGAAGTTGGAGAACAAGCAACGGCGACCAAGAAAAGAAAAGTGAGATGGATGTAATCTTTGTGCAGTCTTCTTTCTCTTCTTCTGCCAACCGCCACTTCTGCCGCATAGAGTAGAGAATCGCCAGAGGAGGGAGAAGAAGAGGGAGGTTTCAAGAGAGTGAAAAATTCGAGAGGAAGATACAATGAAAAAGAATGAATCGGACAGTGCCGTTGCTTGGCTAACCGCCCGTCAAGCCGCCCGCTCGCTCGCCCGCCCGCTTGATTGGTCAATGACTATCCGCGGGCCAGGCAAGCGGCGCGCGGAAGGCAAAGCCGAGGCACGGAGCGAGAAAAATTAAATTCGTGTATAACTCCACCTACCTGCGAGATGGCACTTCTGTTTAAATTGCCAATAAAGCTTCTTTGAGTAGACCATCATGTTGTCCCATTTTTTCTTGCATTCGGTTTGGGTGTGGCCTGCGGACCCCGGTGGGCTCACGGAATTCACCGAGTCCGTGATCTCTTTCCAAGCTCGACGTTTGTCCTCCGACGTCACATCGCGATTGAATCTGCGGAACGAGAAAACAGTCTCAAGATTTCGAAGTTTGGGCTCCGCCGGAAACGATTCCGATTCCTCCGAAACCCGACCGCGGCACGAGAGGTTAGAGCGTGTTCACTTTGTTTCATCTCGCCATCATTTTGTGACTTCTCCGTTGTAATTGACTTTCCCATTGATATCACGGAAGTCCACGGAGAGAAACGGTGCATGAAGTGTCTGTCTGCTTTATCTCGCCCCGCGCATGACTCCAATAAACAGTGGGTCGCAAGCCCTGACTACTGAAGCGAAAATGATAAATTCTCCCTCGGTACGCTACCCTATGCGCTTTGAGGGAGAGCGCCTCAGAAGATCAAGAGCCCCCGGAACGAGCACGACTCTCGGTTCTCCACTTGCGCGAGACAGGAGATGAGGAGCATAAGATCTACAATACATATGCCCCGCCACAAAGTACCCGCCCTTTCCGCTTCTGAGGATTGGAGTGGAATTCTCCCCTCTCTGAAGAGGTTAGGGCAGAGCAGTCTCGACTCCATCTTCATTGATTATTGGATTGGATCTATTCAGCAGGAGCTATTCTCGTCGTGTTTTTTTCTGACGAATGCAAATCGACCCGATCACACCTCCGACGGAGCGCCGCGCGAGTGTGCCGTCCTATGGCGTTCCGGTCGTCTCTCGCTTAAAACGAGAGACAGCTGAACTAGACATGAGTGCTCCCGGAGGCTCGGTTTGCTCGTATCTCGTCGCTCAGAAAACGAATTCGAAAGGAAGAATTTTCTCAAGGAAGGATCCTCGGATCTCGAGCTGGAATGCTCATCGGATTGCGTTGACCTTTCTCAGGTCTTTATTTTTCCGAAGATCGATCGCTGTGCTCACCGGCGAAAATAAGGAAGACGCGCTCCGCGTTCGCAGACATTTCACTGATGATGGCGTATGCGCGACGATACTGCACAGCGCGATTCTGTTTCTGTATCGTCGCAAAATCGTGTGCCGAGTTGAATGTGTGAGTCCGCGAGACGATTCTGCATCTTCTCGGAATCAATGCAGTCGATCTCGCTTCCACTGTTTCGAATCTGAAGCGCTGAGTGGTGGTTTCCGCAGGACGATCCGAAAAGCCTGCCCGCGCATGCTGTCCCATTTGACGCCGATTCACACAACGTGATGTTGTCTTGATAATAATTCTCGCGATAGACCTGATCTTCGCTTTCTTCAGGCGGTGCACGACGTCGCGAAGAACTTCAAGAACAGATACATCGTATCTTTTTCTATTGAAGAATAGAAAAGCCGAGCCGAGTGACAGCAGCAGGCTGCTCGCTTCAGTCAGTCCGTCCGCGAGCGACGGACAGACGTTCACAGTCGACCAGTCGGACGGGGATAGACCCCTAATCATACAGCAACAACGACGACAACGGCAGCGGCCGCAGCGGCGTCCACTGGAAAGGCAACGACGGAGTCGACTGGGAATAAGTACAAGTTATCATTCTGACTGAAGGAGCCCACGTCAATCACGACCGACCAGGAGCGGCAGGAGGCATTGTGCTTAAAATTACGCCTGCCTGTCGAGCCAGCCAGCCAGCCAGCGGACAAGTGAACCACAGGCCGTCAGCCACTCAGACTGCAGCAATCGAAGCAGCAGCAGCAGCAGCGGCGGCAACGGCGCATCTTCCACTGTGTGTTCACAAAAATAAAAACGCAAAAAACAAACACAGTCGCATAAACATACCGGTCTAGATTTTCATGAACTTCTTCCCCTTGGTAGGAAGTTGCTGATCAAGTTGCGAGTCCACGAGCGAGCCCGCCGGACACTACTTTCAACGTTCGGAAATCATTGCGGGCCGCCGCGTCGGATGCCGACAGTCGATAAACATCGATTTGTGAATCTGACGACTCAGCAAGGAAAAAAATGAGGGGACCGAATAGAAACACGAAAATTGTGGCCATTCACCGAAAATCAAAAGACCCCAGACCTCATCACAGTTCGGGGAGTTCTTCCCTCGAGAGTCGACCGGCCCCCCAAGAGGCGAGACAAGTTGAAGAAAAAATAAAGCGCAAACTTCGTCAATCAGTCCCATTATGACCATTGTTCATTGTTCCGAAATCATTTCGACAATCAAACATTTCATCGACGCAAACGCTCTATGGGAACAAATGGAGCGGTGAGAGCAGCTGTCCAATACAGGGTAGATACGACGCAAGAGGAGCAGAATATTCTGCTCGGAATGCGCTTTTCAGAACATGCTGACTAAGGAGCCTAGTGATGAAGACCGGAGTCGCTATTAAGCCGAAGCCGTGGGCTAGCGAGCGATCGAGCGAGCCAACGAACGATCGAGCATGCGAGTAAACAGTTTGTTGTTCATGAAACATTTCCGAACTCATCCCGGGCCGCCGATGCCAGCGCTGTACGGACAGCGAGCCAAGCAGGCGATAGTTGGAATTCTCTAGCACGACTGTTATCCATGCCAGAAGCGGCTCCAGCACGTGGTGGCCGCTCTACACTCACCGTCACTGCGGTCGTCGTCGTCGCCGTAGTTGTTGTCGTTGTTGTCGTCTATAACAATAATCATAATATATCCTAAATCATGTCTAGGAAGACGCAGCGTTGTAATCGACGCTCGTCGTAATCGTGATCATGAGCCGGCATGTCGACAATTGCATCGCTCTGAGAACTGTTCGGTGCTTTCTTTGGCGAGTCGATACGCAGTCAGGCCAGAAGCCATCGCTACAATCCTTTCTGTGCCGCCGCGGCAGCCTTTCCCCTCGGGACACTGATCTGCCAGATTTCTTCTCACGGATACCGCCTCAAACTAACTCTGTTGTGCACTTGAAGGGTCCACCACAAAAACTCCTTCTTGCTTCTCTTGAGATGATTCTATCGAGAGCTTAGGAAATTGATTCGCTAGCCGGGAGGCTCAACCATGTTCTCTTCTGTGACGTCGGAGCCGTTCTTTCCTCGATTAGCAGATCTTACAGTCCGAGAGTGACTGAGTGAGAGCCGTTCCCAGTCATCCGACGGGACGGGAGAATAGTATCCTCGAATACGATCCCAATCAGGACACTTCCCTTCAGAGTTCGTCGTTTCCGATTCCTTTCGGAAACGTTAGGAATCAGACAGAAAACCCAAACGAATCAACAGGATGGAGCAGGGCATATACAAGATACGAGAATCCGAAGAGGTATTCAGGATATAACAATAGAACGCGGTGATCTCTTTCTCTGCGAAATCGCTCGACCACAGACCACGGTGAACCCCCGGTCTGGACATTCCGATCGTGGATATTTCCCTGATTCCGATATTTTCATATTTTCCGCTCCTTCGAGCAGTATCGACGAAACTACCCATGTTGTTTCGTCGCTGTTCGCAGGCGATAGGAAAGCTTCGAAAAATCGCTCGCATCGAGATGTAATGGTCCGAACAGAAATGAAAACGTTGTTTATTCGTAGGGATGGGGGCGCAGAAAAACAACCGCATATGCAAATGAATATTACTGAAAACTTCAAGGAACGCTTGCCAGAAGATACAGCCGCTCAGACAGACGCATCGTTCGTTTCTAGTATCGAGCAGGCGACGCGACGGAGCTCGCGAACGAGGTCTAAAATCGAAAACAAAAAGCAACTGAAATAAATAAAACGAGAGAAGCGAAACTGGAAAGCAGGATAGAAAGCGACTAGCGAACGAAGATTAGGCCGAATTTTTCTCCGATCATAAATAATGTTTTGACAGCACTGCAAGCGAGTTCTTCTTGAAAGTTCTCGAGATCAACAACAACGTACATGTACGTCATAGGCGAGCTGGACAATTGGGAGCCGATCCCTCAAGAAACTACATACCGCGGTTTGCTCGGCTCATTCCGCGCATGTAGGCTCATTCTACTCGCCTGCGAGTAGAAAGGAAGAAATGCCGCATAGTAAAAGTATTCAACTGCTCCAACGAGCCTCGCTCGGATCGTCTACATGGCCCGCACGGATCGGCTCCATCGGACTGACGGTTATTGGCCGAAAAGAAACACCGTGGGCATTCAAATTTGAACGCTTGGCCGGCCGCGAGCCACCGCCGTCGTTATTCGAAAATTCGAGCAACCCTGTGGACTGGAGCATCTCCTCCGATGAATGTCGTCCTCCAGCAGCAGGGCAGCACTCGACTGACCCATTCAGAATTTTCCTTGCCGCCTTCTTGAAATTTCGCTACGCGGCTGTAGCGAAGCAAATTTTTTCTGACTGACTGAGTGACTGACTGACTGAGAGCCGATGACGAAGATCGAACGAGTGAATAAGTGCGTGGCCAGCCAAACACCCGTCCAAATTCACAAGCCGAATTCTGGATGTTCCAGTGGAGCAGCGACGAGCGGGATGGTACAACGTGACGCCGAGCAACAAGCAATGAGCAGTGAAAATAACGAAATTGTAACAAAATTTCTTCTTCACTCCGGTTGCCTGCATGACTGACAGTTCGAATGGACGGGCGGCGCATTGACCAAGCGAGCCGCCGCGGAGTTTCTCACCGCAAACATTTGGCCGAAGGATTGGACTGAAGTGGTGCACTGGCGCTGTAAAGCCACAGAAATATTCTTCAGTCAACACGGGTTAGATCCTCGGCCCGCGAGAACGCAGGCAGGCGGGCACGCAGCTCTGTTCGTCGGCTGGTCGATCGGCTGTTCGTTCCGTTCGACCGTCGGCACGCAGTCAGATCGATCGGAGGAGCGAGCAACGAAACGTTGTCAAAATAAACAAACAATTGGCGGGGAAACTTTGTCCGAATCAGGATCACGATCCGATCGTCTTCTTCATCATCTTCCTCGTGATCATCGTCGTCGTCGCTTGCGCCATTAACACCAGTGTGATCAGCCGTCAGCTGGCCTGAGAACAAGTTTCCCTAGCCTCGTACGTCCCGCACACTTTACTGAGTGGCCTTACCGAGATAAGGTTGACCCTATCTGTGACGTGTTTGTCTGGGTTTGTGAACCTCCCGCCCCGATCGACGGACTGATTAGGCGTGCTGCTGCTTTGTTGGCCCGATAA